TAAAGTGAGAAGTGGTTACCTATTATAGCAATCTTTTAATTGATTAGAAGTTGTTCCAATCAATTTTTGTTTGGGTGTTGAAGTTAGTTGCAATTTTTGAAGTTATAATCGATTTTTTTTTGGTTGAATCGAGTGGAGGGCGCAATATTTGAAATTTAAACAATTCTAATCTAATAACTTTAAAGTATAATTGATTATGAAGTAATATTTTAAAGTTTCTTGGACCGATTTTGGGCTTGAAGACAGTTTTGGCCTGAATTGATTTTAAGATCCCCTCTTCTTAAAAACATAAGTTAAACACATAGTTAGTATAAAGTTATGTTTCTTTTCTTTATTGATTTTATGAATCTTTTGACTAGAGAAGCCTATTCAATTTCAATTTCTTTCTTTAATTCTTGCTTTCTCGCATTCTCTTTAAATAGTAAGAATTCTTTAGAGATATGCATTCTTGCAAAAACAATAAAGATTTTAATTTTTGATACCCAAACGTTTTTTAGTCCTTCTTTATTAATGGAGGCATGTCTACGGAAAGGTTGAGAATTAGATGCACATGCAGATAATGCATCCATACTTGATCCACTATACACGCGGTTACACGCCATTAGATATGTTAGAATTAATCTATATTTTTAAAATATCTTTTAGATATTGATTTATATTTTAGAAATATTTTTTTAAATCTTTTTATATCTTTGTTAGAGGATATTTAGGATTTTATTATATCTTAATTTTGTGTATAAATAGCCTGATGAGATAGTTCAATGTAATTTATTGTAAATCATTATTCCTTATTTTTATAGCTGTCATTTAATATATTCTTTTTGCCTTTCATCTCTTCTTTGTGCACCAACAATTGGTATCTAGAGTTACGGTTAGAAATCCACGGGGAAACACAAAAGAACAGTGAGGTGTCGTGTGATTCATAATCGTTGTTTCTGATTCTGGGAATTTGGGAAACATTGCGTTATTGAGTTTCTGCGTAAATTGCACAAGGTAGAAGATGAACGGAAAAGGAAGCGATATCCATTCCAAGCTTCCAGTATTTGATGGTAAAAACTGGAATCGTTGGAAGATCCAGATGCGCGTGTTGTTTGGTTCTCAAGATGTGTTAGATCTTGTCACCGATGGCTATGATATGTTAGAAGCAGACGCAATAGAGGCACAGAAGATAACACAGAGGGAGCTAAGGAAGAAATATCAGAAGGCGTTGTTCTACATTCATCAATGTGTGGATGCGAATGTGTTTAAGAAGATTGCTGATTCTGAAACAGCAAAGGCTGCATAGGACACGCTGGTCAGATGTTACGGTGGTGACGCATCAGTGAAGAAGGTGAAGCTTCAGTCTCTCATAAAGCAATATGAGAATCTCAACATGAAGGACAACGAGAAGGTTTATGAGTACATATCTAGAGTGATTCTAATCACTAATGAGATGAAAGCTTGTGGAGAAACCATTTTTGAACAAGTAGTCATTGAGAAGATCTTGAGATCTTTAACTTCTCAGTTTGATTACGTTGTGGTAGCAATTGAACATTCCAAATATCTGAGCACCATGAGAGTTGAAGAGCTGCAAAGTAGTCTAGAGGCGCATGAGTTACGTATGACTGCGAGAACTTATAAGAGGGAAGTAGAGCAGCAGGCTCTGAAAGTAACTTCTGGTAAGAAGTATCAGAAGCAGACTTGGTCAGAAGCCATGAAGAAAACTAACGGTGGTCAAAAGTCAGAATCTTCAAACTCTGATAGGCAGAAGAATGTCCAGAAAGAAAAAGAGAAGTCTTACAAGAAGAATTTCCAGTGTTACTGTTGCAAGAACTTTGGTCGCTATGCCAAAGATTGCTGGTCAAACAAAGAAAGGAAGATAGAAGAAGCAAATATAGCCAAAGAAGAGTCTGATGATGAACATGTTCTATTTATGGCTTATGAATCTGATGAGGAACCAGCGAAATTGTCATTTTCTGATTCTGAAGGGGAAGAAGATGACTCTGAATATTCTGACTATAAAGGAGTGTTTGAATATGAGTCAGAATCAAAATATGACGCTGAAGATTCCGATGATGAGTCAGAAGATGATGACTCTGGAAACTCCGAAGGTGAGTCAGATGGTGAATCTGATTCTGATCTAGATTTTGATGTTGATCCAAAATTTGGTGATCATCATGCTTCTAGAAGGGAAAACTATGAAGACATAGGTTCTGGAGGACAAGCTTATAAAGATGATCATGTTTCTGGTGAAAATCATGACTCTAAGGATGGACCTTTTGAAGGAGGAGCTTCTGAAGGAAATTCAGCCTTTGACGGTGATCATAATTCTGAAAGTAGAACTTATGAAGGTAGAGGTGATCCAACTTTTGAAGATGGTATTTCTGAAGGTAATGACTCTGACTCCGATGGTGATTCAGACTCTGGGAATTTTCTAGACTCTGAAGACAGTCAAGGTTCTGGAGAAAGTCAAATTTATGAAGCAAGAGCTTTTGAAGGGGAAAGTTCTGGTGTCTGAGGTTCTGAAGTTAAAATTCAGAGGCAACAAAGAGTCAGAAGCATCCCAAGAAGATTTGCAGAGTTTGACATGTTGCAAGACACTGAAGTAGACTCCGAAGGAGAAGTTAATCTGTGTGAAATATTAGTAGACTCTGAACCCCTGAGTACGAAAGAGGATCTTAAGCAACAAGTCTGGTTGCAGGCCATGAAAGAAGAACTTGATGCTATAGAGAGAAACAAGACGTAGAAGCTGATAGAACTTCCAAAAGGCAAGAAAGCCATCAGCGCTAGATGGGTTTTCAAGCAGAAGCTAAAGCCAGATGGATCAATTGGCAAACACAAAGCAAGATTAGTAGCAAGAGGCTTTCTACAAAAGCTTGGGCTGGATTACTCTGAAGTGTGTTCACCTATAGCGAGACATGAAACAATCAGACTAGTGATTGCAATAGCTGCTAACAGGAATTGGCCTCTGATGCACTTAGATGTAAAATCTGCATTTTTGAATGGTCTATTATAAGAAGAGGTATACGTATCACAACCTCCTGGATTTGAGAAAAAGAATCAGGAAGGGATGGTGTTTAATTTACACAAAGCCTTGTATGGATTGAAGCAAGCGCCCAGAGCCTAGAATTTGAAGATTGATTCATTTTTCAAGGGCCATGGATTTCAGAAGTGTGAGATGGAGTATGGTGTTTATGTTCAGCACACTCCAGAAGGTAATATGATTCTGGTATGTTTGTATGTTGATGACATATTACTCACAGGAAGTTCTGAATAAGAGATAGTTGAGTTTAAGAAAGTTCTGATGAATGCGTTTAAGATGTCAGATCTTGGAAAAATGAGTTTCTTTCTAGGGATGAAATTTATGTACTCTAAGAAAGAAATCATTTTGCATCAGATGAAGTATGAACTAGAGCTTCTGAAGAGATTTGAGCTAGAAATTTGCAAAGTTGCTATCAGACTTGCTGATACGAATCAGAAGTTGGACTCTGATTCTGATGGAGAGGATGTGGATGCTACAACCTTCAAACAGATGGTTGGTTCTCTGAGATATTTGTGTAATATCAGACCTGATATTTGTTATGCAGTTGGAATGATTAACAAATTTATGAGTAAACCAAAGTGGTCTCATTACCAAGTTGCTGTCCAGATTCTGAGGTATGTGAAGGGAACTCTGAAGTATGGAGTGTTATTTCCTTCTGGAAGAAAGATCAAATCAGAACTTCTGAGTTATTCAGACTCTGATTGGTGCAGAGATAGAGTTGACAGAAGAAGTACTTCTGAGTACTTATTTAAATTTCTGGGAGGTCCTATTTCTGTGTTCCAAGAAGTAACATGTTGTTGCGCTATCAACCCGTGAAGCAGAATATATTGCGGGTGCTATGACTACATGCCAAGCTGTGTGGATTCTGAACTTGCTGCAAGATCTGAAGATTGAAGTAGACAAATCTCTGAAGCTGATGATTGATAACAAGTCTGCAATCAATCTTGCCAAGAACCCAGTGCTGCATGGGAGAAGCAAGCATATTGAGACAAAATATCACTTTCTGAGAAATCAAGTTCAGAGCGGAATATTAGAAGTTGTGCACTGTAGCATCCAGAAGCAGTTGGCAGATGTTCTAACAAAGGCTATCAAGACTGATCAATTTCTTCGCTTGAGTGATGAAATTGATGTTGTCAGTTTTGGATAAAATATAAATTAAGGGATGATGTTAGAATTAATCTATATTTTAGAAATATCTTTTGGATATTGATTTATATTTTAGTAATATCTTTTTAGATCTTTTTATATTTTTGTTAGAGGATATTTAGGATTTTATTAAATCCTAATTTTGTGTATAAATAACCTAGTGATGTAGCTCAATGTAATTTATTGTAAATTATTATTTCTTATTTTTGTAACCGTCATTTAATATATTCATTTTGCCTTTCATCTCTTCTTTGTACACCAACAAGATATACTCTATGAAACTTGAGATTGTTTTAACCGTTTTGCAAATATAACCATTACTTGAATTTATTGACTAACTCGTGCATTGAAATGTTAACCTTAAATATTCACTCTATATTCCGCGCGTGGGAGAACATTCTTCACTACAAAAGTTGGTTTTACTATGTCAGATCCATCATTTCTAGTTCCTTGAACGAACACTTTCCATTAGAAGTCATTTAGAAAGATTGCCTCAAAATTATTAGTTATTTTACAATTCAATAAAATGATAGTAGTTATTATTTCTTCATACTTTTTAACTATTTATTATTTTCTATTCTTCTAATTTTTTAAATTTCTCTCATTAACAAAGATAAATTTTAGTACAAAATTCATAATCAACATAAAATGTTCAAATCATTGTAGAAGGAGCAAATATGTAGGAAAATTAAGGCCAAGTAATTAAATTTAAGAAAGCAATAAGTACTATATTAATTCATTCAATCTTATGATACACAAAAAAGAAGTCATCTAGCATATATGAGTGCACGAGAAAACCACCACACCATAATAGCCAGGCCAGCAAAATTGGTCATGAAACACATGCAGCAGGCACCAGACAGGAAATGAAACCCAACATTTTCTTCTGCACAAGCAACTATTATTCAAGTCAATATAATGAATCAAATAACAGATAACACAATTCACAAACATTTTATAGTAAAAAGTAATAAAATACGAACCCGTTTGGTTTTGCGAAGAAGTTGAGGAGAAATCTTGTAGAGATCTTCATCAACTGGTTTTGGATGAACAACGTCGTCTACATGTATTACCTTCTTCTTGTTCATTGTCTGTTTCCTGGTATGTTCCTTAACATCGTACACTTTCACCTGTTTTTTCATTGTTGTTTCTGTGTCATTAACCATACCAATCGTATATCTTCTATCCCTTATTCTCTTCGCCTACACATAACATTACAAAACACAAAAAACATCACACACTCTTTCTACATTACATATCTTGTTTTTATCGAAAGCAAACACTATTAACAATGGCACATCATCATCATCACTCATGACAAAATACTATTACAGAAAAAATATTTATTAATATTAAGTTACCTTTCTAACTGGTTTCTTATGATCAACCGCATAAAGATCAGTTTCACAGGAGGAAGAACTGTAACGAATCAAACCAGCTTGTCTTGCATTCTCGAAGTACTGAGTTATTGGCAACTCGTTCGCAATATCCCAGTTTCCAAAAGCTGGTATTTGACCACTTCTCTTCCAATATTCCTAACAATAACAAACAACAATAACCCATCAATCATTACTCATCATCACCTTTAACAAAACAAAAAAGGGTCACTGAAAATATGCTTACATTCATATTTGGACTCTTGAATCAAAACAAAGAGCTTGCTTTGCTTGACATGGAAAGTGATATGTTTCTAGTGTTTTTGTTGTGCCTAACAAAATGGGCGGGGATGAAACTTTTAAAGGGAAAAAAGTAAGGTAGTTCCCAAAAAATCTCAGACAAGGCTATTAATTCCTTGTGCAGAACAGAGAAAGAAAGAAAGGTTGCATTGAAGAGACAGAAGCAGAAGAAGAGCAAAAATGGGACCTGGGGAGTGTTCTGCTAAGGCATAAATTTTGTTCCTTTTACCATGAAAAATTCTATACAGACAATTAATTGAATAAAGAAAAAGCTAGTAAGACGAAACTGGTGCAGTAATTGAGTTGTTATTTATGTGTAAAGAAGATTAAAGATATGGAAGCAATTGAATGAAGATAGTTGCAGTGAGCGTAGATAGATATATTGAATATAGTAAGGTACATAATGAGTGTGTGGGTGAAAAGTTGGTGAGTTTTACTGTTGAAGAAACATAGAATGAATTTGTATAATGGTATGAAAGTGTAACTGTTTCACTCTGTTACGTTTAACTTTTCCAGTTATAAAGGAATTGTGACCCCTACCTTTATGCCTCTATGGTTCTATCTATGTGTCGAAATTCTGTTAGTAAAGTCACACAACTTTTTCAATGGAAAAGAAAACTGGACCTCACGCTTTTGTTTTACTCTTTTGTTTTACTTTTACCTATTATAATATATCCATCCATAAATTATATGTATTTTCCGAATTAGTCTTTTATCATTGGAGTTCAAATTTATTTCTAGTTAAGTTTTTTTTGTTCATTTTAAGAATTGATCATTTGTATTATGTTTTATTTTTAGTTAAGTTTTCTTTATTCTTTTTAATTAAGGTTATTATTAGTTTTGCTCATGTATTATAGGTGATTTTGATTTATCTCCATGTAAAATTATTTGTTATAAACAAATCTTGTCATATAAAGATTATGTCGTTATAGATTTTGATAAGAAATAACACACGTCAAATACTTAGGTGGCGTGTTGACTGAATAATTTTTTTAATTTTATAATTTTTTTAATTTCAAAAAGACTGATTAATTTTATTATTATTTTTTAAATTATTTTAAATATCACGTTGTTATTTTAAGAATTGATCATTTGTATTACTTTTGTTTTACTTTTACCCATTATAATATATCCATCAATAGATTGTAGTCTATGTTTTATTTCTAATTAAGTTTTCTTTGTACTTTTTAATTAGGGTTATTATCACTTTTGCCCTCTGTATTATATGTGATTTTTAGTTTACTTCCTTATAAAATTATTTTTTGTAAAACTAACATTGTCATATGAAGATTCTGTCGTTTAAACTTTGATAAAAAAATGATACACGTCAAATGCTTAGGTGGTGCACTGACTGGATAATTTTTTTAATTTTTATAATATTTTTTAATTCCAAAAAAGTTGACTGACTTTATTATTATTTTTTGAATTATTTTAAATGTCACATTGTCATTTTAAGAATTGATCATTTGTATTACTTTTGTTTTACTTTTACCAATTATAATATATCCATCAATAGATAGTAGTCCATGTTTTATTTCTAGTTAAGTTTTCTTTGTTCTTTTTAATTAGGGTAATTATTACTTTTGTCTCTAGTGTTATAGGCGACTTTTAGTTTACCTCCTTGTAAAATTACTTTTTGTAAAACTAATATTGTCATATGAAGATTCTGTCGTTTTAGACCTTGACGGAAAATGATACACGCCAAGTGTCTAGTTGGCGCATTGATTGGATAGTTTTTAAATTTTTAAATTTTTTTTAATTCCAAAAAGGCTGACTAACTTTATTATTATTTTTTGAAGACAAAATATTTATTTTGGTCTCTTAACTATAGGTCATGGTTCAGTTTGGTCCCTTAACTTTTTTTCGTGTCAAATTGGTCCCTTAAGTTTCAAAATGTAACCACGTTAGTCCTTCCGTTAGTGAAACGTTAGTTCAATTCAAAAAACAGGCTCTAGGTGGCATTTGTCATGCTGAAGTGGCTTGCTAGAGGCAACATGGAAAAGAATAAGGAAAGGCAATCTCCAAAAGCACACGAAAGGATATGCATGTTCATTTTGTCCAAAACCAAAACCAAAAGAAAGATGAAGAACGAGAATCTGCAGAGGCGAGTTTAAAGAGGCTTGCGAAGGTCTTTGAGAAGGTGATTGCGTTCCAGATAACTATTCTCATACTCGTTGGTAACTGGTATTTAGGGATTTAGGTATTCCATTCATTGTTTGTTCTGAGATTTGGGGATTTAGGTATCTTATTCTTGTTTGTTCTATGTGTCTTCATAACTGAATGTTTGTTATGGGATTTAGGTTTAATGGACGAATTTTTGAAACTCGTAATTCACCACAATGGTGAATTCGTTGATCTAGAGCTTAGTGTCTATGAAGGAGGCCTGGTATATGAATTACCAGTAGATGTTGATAGGTGAAGTTACTTCGAGTTAGTTGGTATATTGAGAGACTTAGGTTATACGGACAATGTAGAGAAAATATATTACAAAGACCCACAATTTGGGATGAATGAACTAGTTAATAACAAAGGTGCTCTAGAAATTATAGACCTATACAGGATGCACCATAGTATTCATATTTACATTCAACACAGTTTATCTCAACTTGAGTATTATTATGGTTCTATTGAGGAGCCTGAGAACATTATAGATGAGATGGAGGAGTTTCTTAGCAAGTTGCGTGATGACATTGAAGGAAAGTTAAAGGAGTCTGTTGTTGGTGTGGATGAAGTTAATGATGGATTGAATGGTGCAAATGTTGTTGTGGAACAAATTAATGTTGGACTGAATGATGCAAATGTGGGGGTGGAAGCAACGAGTGTTGAAGTGGAGTCAAACAATTTTTAGGTGGAGCCAAATACTGATGGTCATGTGTATGATGAATTCAATTATAATGACAGTGAGGATGAGAGTTACCAGTATGATAGTGTCCTGGAAGTAGCCTTTAACGATAAATCTGATGGTTATGAGGATATGCATGTTCATTTTGTCCAAAACTAAGATATTGGTCTAGATCATCATGGATTCAATTTCCCAGGAGATCATGGGCCATAAAAATCAACTGCTTCATTCCCCCTCTCTATGCAGGCCACGTGTCCCAGAACTTGGCACCGTTTGTCAAAAAGTAACGCTAAAGAGTTTTTTTCTCACTATAAATACCCTTGTTCCTCAACTATTCTTCTCCTTTCATATTTTGCCTCATTTTCTCCTTAAACAAATAAATTTCTTAAACTCTTTCTTCTTCAAATTTTACGTTCATCGATTTGCAATAATGGCCTCTTCTTCAAAATTGAAAAACTAAAAGGATTCTCGGGATTCTTTACCTCTTTCTACCGGAATCAAAGCTCCTATTTCCCATGGAAATCAAGAATACATTCCAGAACCACCCTTGCAGGAAGAGAAACTTTGCATCTACAAATCCCAGGTACTGATTCCTTTCTTAATCTCTGGTAAAATCCATGCGCTTATGGGTCCGCTGCATGACCCTTCTGTAAATGCTGCAAAACTGATAGAATTTTTTCCTCTTACCATCATACTAAACCCATTGTTATTATAAAAAAAACATATATTTAGACTACATGAGCCTCAATTTCCTTGTTTTTGGTTCCACACCTTCAGCCAAGAAAAATGAGGATTACATTGCTTTGTTAAATAAAGTCGAAGCCAAAAAGCCGTAAACTTAGAAAGATAAAGGTATATATGTTTTTATCGAGTTGTCGAGGGTCGACCCTCCTTATTTCCAGAACATGCTCATCGCAGCTTTATATTTTTGGGAAAACACTACCAATATATTCCAATTTCTTTGTGGTATGGCCACACTTATTTTGTTTAACATAGAGGCTATTGTCGGCCTTCACCAACCAAAAGAGATAAAGACACCATTAACTTATATTGATTGTGCTAGTTATTATTGACAACCATGAAACTACCACTGAAGCAATGTCAAACAAGGAACATATTTCCTTTTTAGCATTGTGGATGTCACCGTGTATTTTCTGCTGCAAATCCATGAAAGTGGCTAAGACGTTCTTAACCATAGCTAACTGTTTACCGTGAAAATTGGTAAACAACCGCTGATCTTCCAAAAGGTTACTTATTTGGTGACTAGCAGGATCGATCAGATTGATCCTAAGACATGGTTGATTTTTGGAGTTTGACTAACCCTAATGGTGATTAATGCCTGTAAAGTAAAGACACTTTAAATAAATTGCATGGAGAAAAGCTTTATAGAATAAATAAAAGCGTTAAGGAATTGTTAAATAAAAAGGGCTTCGACGGAAGTAAATAAATGAACAACGGTAAATTGCTTGAATATAAAAGATTTTGATTAGTTTAAATGGTGTTTCACACATACGTTCTCAATGATTCTTTCTCTCACGCTGGGTACTTGAATCTGAATGAGTGACTTGTATAAAATGATGAACACACTAATAACTACATAAAAACTTAGTATTTATACTAAAAAAAATCCTAAGTAACCGATGGGCAGTTACACCGCTTTGAGATGACGCCACATGGCACGCTCACAACCTTCGACGCCTATGTTCTCGACACGTTGCACTTGGTAACTGCTGGGAACTGTTTTCCCTCCAACAATTCAAATCTCAAACCGTTCGACCTTGGGCATCAGGAATCTTTGTCGAGAGGCTCCTTCGACGTCGAAGACAACAAGATTCCAACTTAAAGGAATTTCTCTAAGTATCTTGTCATTCTTTGATGAGCCTTCGACATGATCAGTTGGTCGAAGCCTCCTTATGTAGGAAACTCTTCCGACTCATAATTAATGGTCTATATGATAATAAACATGGGTGTCGAATTTAGGAGCCAACAAATTGCCCCCCAAGAATGTCTTGTTTCGACACTGAAAAGAAAAAGGCATTCTTTGAGATTCCATTCGACACATGTCCTTCATTCTTAGCCACAAATCAGTTTGTGTGCTTTTTATCTACCAA